TAGGCAAATAATAAATTAAATAAATGATTCTTTATGGGACATCGTTTGAAGCACTTATACTCACGAATACAATAATGTATACAAATTGCCTGAAATTATGTGAGATAAATATAAAAAAATACATTTGTCAATTTAAAAAACACGAACATACAGGGGAATAGAGTCTATGCTATCTGTTACAGTGAAATTAGAACTGTCCAACTAAACGTTTAAAGAAAGAATTTAGAGCCCTTTACGAAAACATGTTTTTAATACAATATTACCCTTGTTTCTCCCACAATTATGTAAAAACTATGTATATTTAAAAATGTATATGGAGTTAATGAAAGAACTAATTGACCAAGACAAATTAACTATCTGGAGTATTGTGGTTAAAGGAAGATGCCGAGAGGAAGAGAGCCATGTAGAGAAACAGCCATGTATATATATACAAACTACTGAGAGAGAGACAGACACACACACACACTTTTGGCACTTTTGGAGTTCAGTATTCTGGAATACTTCAAATACTGGTTTGTGAGACTAGTTATGGGATAATGAAACGAAAGTTCATTTACCGATAACATAAAAAAATGTGTATACTAGTAGTCGCTTGCTGTTAAAAGTACTGCGATTCGATGAATGCAGCCCAAATTTTGATTTCTTTCTCTCTAGAACGTCTCTTTCGTCCTGGATATAAACTCTGCAAAATTTCAGAAACCTAGACTACGCACGTAGGTCTGCGTTAAGGATTTTTTTTAAATTTGAGTTTTAATATACAATACGAAAAAATAGGGCTAAAAATAGTTTTGGAATTGTAATTTTTTTTAAAAATTGTAATAATTTAATGACTTGTCAGCGGTTTCACCTTTGCAACAGACATTACCAAACTGCATTCTGACAGCAAATCTTATTCCTAGGTACTATTTTAACTTCCATCACTTCCATCAACTTCCATCACTATCATTCTCAATTTACAAACAATCATCTGACAGAAAAAAATTAATAGTCTCTCTGAAAATATTTCCTACTCCACTTCTCAAAACATAATCTAGTCACACCCAATTCACTATTGACTACAATAATCCCTTCACTTCAATTATGCTATTGCAAATACAAAGTCTCCTTTTCTCATTTTCCATTTCTACCATTAATTAATATTTGTTTCATACCTGAGATTACAGTTACTTCACTCATTACCAAAGAGAGCTCCTTATTTTCATTCACAATTTTTATAAGTTTAGCTTCAAGAAACAATAGCAATAAAAATAACTTATTTTAATAACATTTCCTTGCTTCACTCTCATCTCAATGCTTTATCAGTTCACTTATTTCATCACATCACATCACTTCACTGTTATCAAATAAACTAGTTCACTCACTAATCTTACTTTCTGTAGCTTTACATTTATCATGTATGTCTAAAGGGTTGATTTCCTATGTCTAATGTCTCCTACCATAACTCCTTGTAACATTAATGCAATGAACTAGCTTCCCATCTTATTTGGAGAGAATATATTATCTAGACCCTAATTTTCCTATATTTCTTTCGTCTTACTTTCACTCTATCCCCTACCTTTTATATCTTACCAATATCTTTAACAACTATATGGAGCTATATATAATAGTGTGGTCTTTATGTTCCTCTTTATGTGTATATGATGAAGAAAACAGAAAACAGTCAAAAAACTATCCAGATCACTATACAGCTACTATATACCAGAAAATACAACATCCACTTCTGTTTAAATATTATAATTATCTGTTCAGGTCTTTCATTCATTCCCTCTACACAAAGTTCTACTTCTTTACCTACATCATTATATAATCATTGTTATTTATATTTTTAATTGCAACATTGTATTCGTATTGCGTATTCGTAAGTATTTATTCAAAATCGAATATAATCATTAACATAACCCACTCTTAACACTCATGTTCCATGTATCACTTACTTGGACCATACTGCTGCCTTTCTCATATTTATGCTGCAGTTTCTCTCTTCACAGATTAACCATAATCACTGTTTATCCAAAAACCAGTCATCACTTATTTTGTATCTTCACTACACCACCAAGAGAAAGTACTACATCACCAAAAACACTTATTCAAGAATTCAAATCGCGCAACCACACTTTCGTAAACATAACCTACTGTGCAGACCTCTTCCTGCGGTACCCACAATTCCCTTTGAGCACAGACACAACATTTCTATGAGGTCTCGGTTTAGCGTGCGCGTCGGGCAATTTTATATTATATTTTTAATAAAGGCAACTTGGCATCTACAAGACAAAATATTGAAATAACTAATTCTTATAAATTATAAATATCATAATAAAAGAATTTTTAAAATCACAGAAAATTTTGTTTCCTTAGCCTTTACATACAATTAAAGCATGAATCAACACAGAAATTTACACTTTTTTTGTAATTTATTTAAGGCCGAATCAATATCTAGAACGATAACGACCACAACTGGATTTAATGGCATGGTAACTGTGAAGATGGCATTATACGGTGGTGATAACTGGTGAAGGGGACACAAATACAACCATGCCGGAGGCGGAACTCGAACCTGCGACCCTACGGTCGCTGGGATTGCTGGGACACAACTGCCTTAACGATCTCGGCCATCCGGACCGGCGAATTTATACTTTATTTACTAGACTTCTGTACATGATACATTTATGATGTCCCTGTTCTTGGGTACCAGTTGTAACGTATAAGACATAATGTATAAGACAATGAAGATCCAAAATACAGATCAAAACAATTTATCTGAATTCTGACATACACCAATTGTAAATCCACACTGAACTTATATAAATTACACTGAAGGGATAATTCTATAATTATGTTCTAAGATTAATGTTCTAGGATGATGCATTGGAGTGTACTAGCTTCCCTTGGGATGACTCTGGATTCGTTCCCCGATTGGGGAACAATATAGATTTGTAGCTTTCCTTTAAAATCGTCTTAGTTTCAGTAGCTGTGTGTCAAAGAAAAGCTGAAACAAGCAGAATTTGCTAGATGCGGTGAAGGGGATACCTGTTTGCCACAGCTCACCCCCTCTCTCTCTCTCTCCCTACTCTTTCGGCTCTCACCCACGCTCTCCCTCTTTTCTCTCTCTCCCCCCTTCTTTTTCTCTCTCTCTCTCCTCTCTCTCATCTCTCCTCTCTCTCCTCTCAACACCCCCCCCGGTCGTTGAATTAAACTAGGCTCAGCAAGGCCGTTAACTAGAGAGCAATATCGGACAAGGACACCAAAATGCAAAATTCATAAGTATGTCTCTTAATGCCTGAACTGTTAAAAATGAAAATTAAATCTTAGCAAGTCAAGTAGTCTATTCATAGTTGTACTATTCACGCTCTGAGGAAAATTTATCAAATGAACTCAATGTGAAACATTGAACTGAATAACTATCACCCCCCGGAAGTATTATACGTAAAACAACTTTTCAGTTAAAACTACGAATAGAGTTAGACGGTGAAGAGTAACAAATGCATTTTTGCATTTTATTTTCAGCCCGTCCGATAGTATAGGTGTTTGCAGTATGGGCTTAACATCAGTCCAACTCAATGTCGCCCTCTTTTTGATTTTCAATTTTGGAGGAAAGAAAAAAGTCGTCATAACAAAGTAATTAATGTCTTGGTATGTATCTAACAAACGCTAGAAATGGGACAGGCAGATCGACTGTGGACCAACCAAAGGCTGGAAGTAGGAAAATTCGAGGGTGAATATGTCTGAGGGGTCTGTGGATGTATTTATTTATTAATGCAGGTTTATTATTAATTACTTATTGATTTAGCAGGAATTATGGGCCTTCAACTGCTAAGATCATTGAGGTTCGTAAATAATGATTAAATGAGTAAATGTTAGCGATAATGGTAACGAGGTAAATTATTATTTCCTGTTTCGTGCACGTCAACTGCTACGCTCAATAATCTCCCCGTACGTGTAGTGTATGTTTTTATCACTGGAAGTTGAGGTGTTCTTTCCCCCGTTCGATGGTGTAATCCAACACCGACTTGGCTTGCGGGTTTTTCTCAATACAGGTATCTCCCACAAGGGAGGGTATCGCCTCAACCAGACAAGTTCTAAGCTCCTGAGTGTTTCCTGACATGTGCGGCAGTGTAGTGTATGTATGTGTGAATGGATGAAGGCTGAGAATATGACAAGTACGAGGAAGGAAAGATCGCACGAGGTTCATGGATCGTTTGTTAGCGTACCGCTGCGGCATTCCGCGAAATTGATCGTGAAAACCATGGAAATCTACCCAGCCGACCTAGCTACCTAGCTAGTACGTAAAAACGCGCTAAACCTTCGGGACTCAAACCTTAGGACGTCCCTCAGCCAGTATGATAAGGTAAAAGATGGAGCAATGGTGTTGAAACGCCCAAACCCCGAGAAAATTTGCGAAGGCGGCGGTGGCGGCGGGGCGGTGGTCGCGACGGCGGTGACGGTGGCGGTGGCGGTGGCGGTGGCAGCGGGAGCGGGGGCGACGTTGGAGGGTCTGCGTACTCGGGGGCGGAGATAAGTCGTCCAGGCGAGGGCCTAGAGAGGCACTGAGTGGACGAGACGCAAGTTGGCAAGCGCTATTGAACGCGCTTATCGGGCGGCGATAGCAAGCGGCAGCGGCTCCGTCGATGCTGCCGTCGTCTTAGAAGCCGCCCCCGGCGACGCGTCGCCCGGAGTGCCGTCCCCTCTCGGAAAGTCCGCGCCGGACACGTCGCTCTCCCACGCGACAGCAGCCCTCTTCCTCCTCCCTCACTATTGTGGCCGTCGATGTAGCAACGGATCGCATTACAGCTCCAGAACCGACTGCTGCAGGGATGGGAAGAAAATTGTTCTGCCACGAAAGTACACAGACAATCAATTAAGCTACTTGTCTTTCTTATACTCTTTCATTATATTTCTTACTTTTTTCTTTATCATTGTTATATTTTTTAGTTTCTCCCTTAATAATATTTTTCATAATTTTCCATCATAGTAATTGTTTGATCTTCATTTTCTTTCACTACCTCCATCCTCCCTCGTTCCTTCCTTTCTTTTATCCTTCCTCCTTCCATTCTTCCTTCCTTCTTTTCCTCTTCCCTCCATTCCTTGCTGCTTTTCTATCTTCCTTTCTCCCAAACTCTCTCCCTGCATTCCTCCCTCCCTCTCTGCCTCCCATCCTTCTTGATCATGAATGGAACCAATAGTAATTTGTTATGGTTTCGGGGTGAATTAATAGGGAAAACATTATTACAGGAGTTTTTAGCGTGCTTATGTCCTTAGAATTTTCAATATAGAACATTCGGTCCTGCCAATTTAGAAAACGTACATGAGACTTTGGCACTACATTCAAAGATAAGTAATTCGAGTTATATGTCATCAAGAACTTCTCTCACTGAATATTTTGAAATATTGAAATAATATTCATTTTGACCAATTATTTGGATGATGTTCTCCTGAAATTCCTAATGCTGAAATATTTGAGAAATTTAATGTTTTACTTCACTGCAGAATGCAAGTATAAATAAAAATCTTGAGAGGAATAAATTAATATATTCCATTTCGACAAGATGGTTAATGATTGATAAGGATGTAGAATGAATGGAAGGAGATTTTTGAAAAATGGATATTAGAGTATTTATTAAATTTTATTTGTCTGCTTTTCATAAGTGCCCTATATATACATGCTTCTCTCTATATTCATTCATAATTTTCTCAGCATGCTCCACTGCAGTTTTTCATTTTGTAGATGACACCTTGAAAATGTAAGTAATGTATTCATAACACTTTATTTAATTTAAGTCATTGATCCTCATTTTCCTTGTGTTCTAGTTGGCATTGAATTTAGTTAACTAAAATATCTTCTCTAAACCTTGCTTCCTAATATTTCTAGCATTCTCCATTCCCTAGCAAGATCTTGCAAGAACATTCTTATTGAAGTATCCCTTTGCTTCAGTCCATGCATATTCAGTTGAATTGAACATGCTATGACAGGGAGTTAGTAAGCAACTATGTAAAACATTTTAATAGAACATATGAAGGTGAATATTAAAATATGAATAGGAAAATGCAAGAAGAATAATATATTACATCTACTGTATATCCTGGTAATAAATATGCATTTTTTAAATTTTCAGTTTTTGCCCAAAATGTTAGCAGTATTGCTCTTGTTTTACTAATTCCTACATTTTAAATCTGCTTATGGGCTTTCTGGCCAAACAATAAATCTTGGTTCTCATTCTGTTCTAAGTACACTCTATTTTGGGTCAGCCATAACTGAAAAGTATCAAAAATTTTCAATAATATTCTGGGGTCAAACATACATCGAAAATTAAAATAAAATTATCTCATCCAGCAAAGATTAATTGACTTGAATTGTGTAGACCTGCCTCTAAATCATTTCTAGTTCTTTTATTACCACATCAATAAATACTTGAAAGAATTATATTTGTAAAAAAGAGTAAAAGTAAAATCTATAAAAAAATGTCTCTATAAATGTACAAATATGCAATCAAATATTTAACTCATGTATTCAAAAACACTCAGTCGAAAAGGTATCATACCATATAGACCAACACCCCTATAATAAGTTCCCAGAAAATTAAAAGAATTTTAACATTATCAAAAATAATTGAACAAGCAAGTAGAGATTTTCCTAAATCTTATGATGAATACATGAAGAATAATTGAGATGAATAATGAATAAATGTATAAGTCTTAGAGATATATTTTTTAAAATTAATATAAACATAGAAGATACTACAAAATGCTAATAAATAAATTAATTTAATATTTATTATAATAATACAAATACAAGGGAGATAAAAAATGATTGACTATATATTCAGTATTATTTAGTGTAGTAGTATTCTCTTACTATAATGACAATCAAATATATTTATATTTAAAACAATTATTTTATTGGCATATTTGCACTAATTGCATTTCGCAACCCAAATGGTTGCTACATCAGGTATTCTGCAATACAATCAGTTCAAACTTTGTATTAACATAAACAAAGTACTAAAAAAATTACAATTGAATTTTAAACACATTATCAAGGAAAACACAGAATTCTTAATTGTAACAAAATTTCTAATGGTATAAAATTTTATATATGTAAAATGTATAAATGTAAATTTTATATATGTACAAAGCACATGTCTTACCTCAGACAAAATTGTGTCTTTTGTCTCAAGTAAGTCTTGTGATTGTGAAACAGTAATATCATGTGATGCCAAACCAGTGACTTGTTATAATTTTTGACAAACAAACATTATTGTATTAATATTATATGTATAATTATCCCTTTTGTTTACAGTATTAACAATGCATTATACTTAATCTTATACTTACTACACAATAGTATTACGTAATGTAATGCAATTTATAATATAATAAATATATATATGCACATGAGTACATGAAGAATAAAGGATATGAATTAATTAATTAATGATTAAAGTCTTAGAGATATATTTTTAGAAATTAAAATGAACATAGAAGATACCACAAAATGCTAATAAACAATTTAATTTAAAGTTCATTATATTAATACAAATACAAGTTTAAGGGAGATAAAAAATGATTGTCTATCTACTTAGTGCAGTGGTATCCTCTTACTTTAAAGACAAAAAATCAATTCATTGTTAAAACAATTATTTTATTGCCATCTATACACTAAATAGGTTTTAAATTCCAATTGGTCGCATCATCATATGTTCTGCAATACAGTCAGTTTAAAATTTTGAATAACATTATAAACAAATCAAAAAATAAAAACATAATTACAATTGAAATTTTAAATACATTATCAAAGAAAAAACAAGAAATGGGATGGTAAAAAAACCTCTAATGGTATAAAATTTTTAATATATAAGTACGAAGCACATGTCTTACCTGAGTCAAAAGATACAATTTTTGTCTGTGTATACAGCAATATAATGGATTGACAAAGCAATGACTTATTATAACTGTGGACAAACAAACATTATTATATTAATATTACATGTGAATTATGCATTTTGTAAACAGTAATCACATTACATTATTACTTACTAATCCATATAAAATTATTATTATAAAATAGAATTACATAATGCAATGTATAATAATATAAAATGTAATGTAAAGTAATATATACGTATACATAATAATTACTGTCTCACATTGAAAATACTAAATATATTTCCATGAGAGGGTGAAAGTATCAATGAATGGAATCAGTAATTGTATTTTTAGAGAAATGTAATCCAGCATACCATTTATTGAATATGAATTGCTAGAGAAAAATGTCATTCAACTTTTAAAACAATTATCATTGACAAATATTGTTGTTAGTATTATTTTACTATTAATATTATTATTACCATTAAAGAGACTGACAAAAAATAATATCTCTTAATAATTTACATCACATTTTCCCCTACAAACAATATACTTATCTCTGATTTTCTGAACAAAATCAATTTCTTTCAGAATTCTGTACAAAGAATGCTAAGATGCTTGAAAAAATACGTATCATAATTGCCTCTGATCTCCCAAATTTATTTCTCTGAAAGAAATTAACCTGTAAAGAAAGTTTCATACCATAATATTTTCAGCTGTACTCCATGATCGTTTGTTTGATTGATTGATTGATTGATTGATTGTTTTAATGATTCCGGACACGTCAACTATCAGGCTCATCAGCATGTTTTTATTCGGGAGGTTTTACGTTAGTGTGTAAGGGGTGAGGATAGGACAAGGAAGAGGTAGGAAAGATCGCGGGCGGTCCGTGGCCCGTAGGGAACGGTACTGCGTCAGCATTCGACTGGTGTTGATCAGTGAAACTGCGGAAAACTTCTGACCACAGCAACCGGCCGCTAGACTTCTCCTCCAGACCTAGCTGACAAGATAGTGTCGAAAATCCTACCACCGCCGGGACTCGAGTCTAGAACCTCCCAGTCTGAGGGATTGCAGTGACATCAGTTGGTGCCCTCAGCTATCTCTACCGGTCCTTCGATCGTCATTAAACCGCTTGAAAATTTCACACACCCAGGGTAAATACCAACCCCGTTGGGAGCCCCTCGTTGAAACCAAAGAAATATAACATAAATTAGGAAACAATAACCAAGACATAAGAAATACGCACAAATATTTACATACATTTCTAAAGATACATTACGAATATTAAAGAAGTCTTTCCAACTCCGCCTTTCGTGTGTGCAATAAACAGATGTATAGAGAGACCAAGGTTTCTCGAAGTTTAATACCTAAGTTTGAAACGGTCAAGCTTCTTTGAGAAGTGCTTTATGAAGACATGAGTAAGCCTGTTTTTACACAACACAATAATTACAGGATAATCCAATATCTTCGAAAGGAACGCAAGTAATTCCACGGAGGATGTGAACGACCGCACATAACGTCAGTAATGAACCAGCAGCGGCAACAGGTTTTCAAAGCATCCGCAAGCGTTAGATTACTGCCACGACTGTTACCTGTTAGCCCAGCCAGGAAGTCGCACATATTTATTTTTCATTAAGGATGTGCGGGTAGAAAAAATCATGAGCTTCTTGCTTATCAGCTTCCTTTGTTCATGTAGGTCGCAGAGGCTGCAACTGAGTTGTGTAACATTAGCAGTAAGTCTGAAGGCAAGTAATAATGATCTTTGAACTTGTAAAGATTCTTCGTTATGAAAGTGATAAAAACATGGGAAACAATGCATTGCAATACTGGTAAAATAAAACTGTACACTTTGTTTCGGAAAAGCAGCTCAATAGAAAGTGATGAGTTTTCTCCTTCTCTGGTAATATTTGTTAATGGGATTTCCAAATAATAATAATAATAATAATAATAATAATAATAATAATATTCATTCAGTGTTTTACATATTTTATTGAATAACGTTAGTAAAATACCTACAGATTCATTAGATTTGCATTGGAACTGATTTCAAAAAGGACAAAAATACTCACACACAATAGAAGTACAAAAAAAGAGGAAAAAATGAATGTAATGTAAAACAAAAAATGTTGGTGGTAATATAATTATATAATGTTTTCTGTCTTCCTCCATTCGTCATTCTAGAAATTAGATCCATTCCCTACTTAGCAGTATTAATTTTGACAGTTTTTTTTCTTTAATACAATTTTATTGTTTCTTAAAACTTTGAG